AGGATGCGTCTTGGGCAGAAAGCCATATTTCACCTTGAAGGTACTTTTATCTATCCAGATGCTGTGTGAGATAATGATGAGTTTAATGATGAGTAGTTTTAGGAAACCTTGACTAGTATTATAAAACCTTCACATGGCGAAAGCAACAACTCATTACATAAGGTTTCAACTATCTTATGTATATGTATGGTAGATGTTGTAGATCAGGCAGCACTTAGTAATGTTGGGTACCTTTATAGCTTGTTTGATTTTGTTTTTGTTTGGTTTAAAAAAATATATATTATAAATTAGAATAAAAAGGGAAGAAAAGATTAGAAGAAAGAATGAAGAAGATCTGAGAGAGGTGAATAAGAGAGAACGAATAATAGATAAATACAAGAACAGAGTAATTATTATTTGTTTTTACTTTTTATTTAAACAAGCTTATCTATTGTTCCTCCTGTTTTTCTTCTTCATATCTCTCGTGTCTTTCATGTTTCTCATCACCTTCTCCTTTTTTCTCTCTCCTTAGTTAAACAGAAAACAAAACAACACAAATGCTACCAAACAGGCTTTTCGTTATCTGTACATGTACCCAAAATGTTGCCAGCCATTTGCTTGTGTAGCCATTTAGGCATAGGCAATCTGCAAGAGAAACTACTGTATAATACTTTCCTGGCAAGGTTACTTTTCCGTCATCAGGATTTATTTAGTTTTAGTAATTACAGCTTCCTGTTTAGCATATGCTCTTCAAGCAGTTATAATGGCATTAGTAACATGCAAATTTAATATCAGACTCCCTTTTTGATTAAAATCGTCAGAGTCAAGGTGGTTTAGAACGATCATTTTTCTATGTTTTTGGGGATTGTGCTCGAAGTTGCCTTTTGAGATGGTCTCGGCTCTCTAATGGAGTTTCTTGCAATGATTCTTTTTACAGCGTTCGTGGCCAAGTTCATGAGCATCTATAAGGCTTTCCTCATTGCAGCTTTTGGCTGAACACAAGACTTAACTTGATTGCCATCGATCTGAAATGTTTTTGTTGAACATGATGGCAATGAGTTGTGTACTTGGTTTTAGTATTTATGGTCTCACTAGAAGCATGTCATTGAAGATGTTTATCATCCCAACCAGCATCCTGTAGTACGGTTTGGTTTTTTTGTTTTTTTGTTTTTTTGTTTGTTGGTATGTAGAATGATTTTGCCCTACGAAAATATATGACGTGTAGCATTTTCATTTCCAGAAACGCATATAACTAGTTCTATTCAACCCCCAAAAAAAAACTAGTTCTATTATATGAAAAATAAATGTCTAATTTTTCATTTATTGTTATTATGTATTTTATGAGCCCTTGCATAATTTATTATCAATGATTTTTTTTTTATAATGATTTTGTTACTATCGAGATGAAGACGGTTTTTTTAATTTTAGATAAATGTTTTGCCACTCCGAAAAAATTATCACAAACTACTCTCATAAAAAAGTAAGGATTTAATTGCATTTCAGTGGATACATGCATGGTAACTTTCTTGAGTGCCAATGCACTACTTTTATTTTATAAGTAGAGATTAGTTTTAACTTTTATGTTAAAATAAAAGTAACTTATTATTTAATTTTTATGGGTGCCCAATGAGGATAACAAACAAGTTGTGTTATGGTTATGTTATCCGACACAATGGACTTAATGAGTCGGGTTAAATTAAAACATTTCCAAAGGAATAGACAAAGGAGTAGGCAAAACTTCAAGGTTGTAGGCATTCAATTCAAGTAGGTAGAATTTACATATTTCTCTAAGTAGGCAACATTGCGTACTTGAAAAGCACTAGTTATGTTAAAATATGCCACTTGATGATAAAGAATAGACATATTGGAAACCTGCACAATTATACTTTTTTTTTGTGTGATGCGGAACTGAAAATTACAAAACAAAACATCTAGAGCAAGGAACTCCAAAGAGGTCAAAATAGAAGGGAGATACAACAGAGAGGGGCAACCCATTCTCCCAAACAACAGAAGTCGAGACGCCATGGTCCATATTAGCTACAACATCTGCAGTGAAATTAGCCTCCCTAAAAACATGATGAAAACGAATAGAATCACCCGAGGAACTCAACTACCAAATATCCTGAACAATTTGTTGAATACTACATGGAATCGAAACCTTCTTAAGTACATTGTCGATGATAAGCTTGGAATCCCCTTCAACAATGATCTTACACCACCCGCGATTAAGGGCAAGACCAAGACCATTCCTTAAAGCCAAGCATTCAGCGACATTGATGGTAATCTCACCAATTTGGTTTGCACTAGCAAGACATGACCATCATTGTCGTGAATAACAAAATCAGTAGTGCCTTGCAAATTTTGAACCGATCCATCAAAGTTAATTTTGATCTATCAAACTATACTTACTTTGTTGCATTGAGTGATCAAGTTTTCATTATAAAGTAGGTAGGCAGGCAACATGCAACTTAGATTGTTAACAAACAATTTTACCTATTTCTTTTTCATGCTTCTTTAAGATACTTAGAATTGATTAGTAAGTGACTAGAATATGTGGTGACACAAAACAACAGACATATGACCTTTCAAAAAGTTCAGAAAAAGAAAATCTGGTACATAAGAAAACTTATTTAAACCGCCAAAATAATACTATCTCAAGTCAATCACACATTATCATCACGCGAATACCGTCATAGAAAATTAGATAACTGCTTATTACTTGTATTTGTAAACAACAAGAAGAAAGAAAAGCTGCGAAGATATAATTGAGAGGGATGTAGGCTAGCTGGCTCAGTTGACATCTGCTCTTAGGAGTGTGCGCTTTTGGTGTGTGCGGCGCTTGCACGGGCGTGATTGAAGGCTAATTAATTAATGCAGCTGTAAATTTGAAATCCAATTGAGAGAAGAAAACAGCTCATGTACAGATAGACACAGATGCATGTTTCAATTGTTTTGCCAGTTGTGACAATAATGGGATCAACAAAAACTTTAACTGTCCCTGCTTATGGAACTCATGTTCTCAATGTAAATATAAAGGAAAATATAGAGGAGTAGTAGAAAATACACGACGTCTGCACAGTAATACGAGAGTGTTTCTCAAATAAATTTATTTAAAAGATCTCTTAATAGAAACTCACTATATATTTTATATATAATGCATGTTATTTTAGAGAAAACGACACCGTCTCAGTGGCTTGGTCAACCTATGATTGACATGTTCGAATTTTAAGACCTGCTAAAGTTGTAATATAAGAATAGGTTTGTCTGATCGCAAGTTGCACAGAATGTCAGCACATAAAGTATATAGTCCAGCCATGCAAAGTAAAGTCCAAATATAGCCGTTTGATCACTCAAATTAAAATTCACTGCTCACAAAGGGACTGGCAGACACCTGACTTAGATCATGAAATTCTTTGGTGAAGTGAAATAGTTAACTTATAACCAACTAGCTACTCGTGTATTGCTCCAAACTACTTAAATTACAAATTTCTTATAAATACTAAAATGTATTATTTAAATATTATTATGTATTGAGGGTGAGTAACCAAAGTTGGAGTATTACCAACTTATATACTAATTGATGTTATTTGCATGTCATCTATTGTAATTACTCAAATTAAGAGATCCCACAACCCAAGAGCCCCAAGACATATCTTTTGATTAATTAATATGTATTATACTTAATTAATCATTGAAACAAGGGTCAAGTCCACAAGTTCACTCATTATTGGGTCCCAATTCAAATTGAACTACTAAAATTGTCAGATCTTAACAGCATCTACAATCATGCTCTCTAATGTTTTAGTTAAACTTTATCTAAATTTTTTAACTCCAATCATACTCTCTAGTTTATGAACTTATAAATGCTATAACTCTTTTTAATTGGTCAATCTCTATAAAAATAATATAAAAAATAATTAGCATTAATTAAAGGTTTAAAATACTCATAAAATAAAGCATCATTAAATTATAAGGAGCCATTAGAAGTCCTTTCTCTCTCCTCATATTTAGGAGCTCCTAGAGGTCTTCATATGTTAGAAGGTGGATAGGGAGCATGGTTTGAGTTGTATTTTTTCAAATCCTCCTTAAAATTTATGTAATGAGGTGGTTTAGGGAGTCTATTGTAGATGCTCTAAGGAAACTCTAAATTTCTAATTAGGGGCAATAACAACAAATTTCAACTCAATACAAACCCATTAAACCCAAGACAAACAATAAGCTAAAAGAGTGCTACAACCACCACCTGAGTTAACATTATAAACAACCCACCACCGAATAGAACTAGATTTAGAGAAAATGAGAAATTTTTTACTGATAATTCTGAGACAATGATTGAATTGAAAAATTAGTAAAATAGAAATAATGAAGTACACAGATATGAGCATCACTTATACCAAGTGACAAGAGAGCCCTAAAACTAATAACAATAAAATAAAAAGAAAATTAAAATCACCCCTAAACGCCAACGAACAATGCCACAAAAAAATAAAAATAACAAAAATGGTCAACGAGTTCTAGCCCAGTGGAAAAGGACATTGACTTGCAGATCAAAAATCTCAAGTTTGAATCTCCAGAGCATCTTAGTTGTATTTAGACTATCGCTTATATTAAAGAATAAAAATAACAAAAAATGTAAATCTCACCAACGGCCAAAATGCAAAATAAGCAACACCTAAAATTGCTCCACCTGTCCCCAAACCCACGAGCTCACGGAAGTAGTCGTTGAGTAAATCCAACGGTCATTTATCTGCCGGCCTCAATATTTGGCGCGTTCCAGTCCCCAACGTCTTTCTTTTTTCTTCTTTTCGGTCTGCCCACCCCAACGTCTTTTTCGCAATTTTAATCATAGATCCGTTATCAACGTTCACATTTTTCTTTTTAAAAATTCAAAAGAAAGCTAACACCAAATACATTAGTAACACTCCAAGTCAGACACACCAAACAACAATTATAACAACGCGTTTTGAAAACTGTAAATTAATTAATTAAATATTTCCCAAAATACGCGTAAAAAAAAAGGTGTCACAAGGACAGCTCTCTAAAAAGGCCAATGTGCACACCAAACCTTGGTAACATGCATCCAATAACCTCCTTCGTTAAGAAGCCAATTTTGTCTCCAAGAATTTCTCAACCACACTATTAGTATTAGGCAAAGCAACACCCACCATACAACAAACTCTCCCAATGCCAACCATTTTCCCAAGGATTTTCCTTATTTACAACCTTCTTAATACATTCCTCCTCTCTTTGGTCCCCAAGAACCTAAGGCCTCTCCTCCCTTCTTCTTGGTTCCCCTGCCAAACCAATCTTGTTGCTACCAATACACCATTACCCCATTTTCCACCATCTTCATCTTCGTCTTCTTTGCCCTGCGGTGCTCCTAAAGTTATTCGAATGGACCCCAATGAGCTAAAACGTGTGTTTCAAATGTTTGATCGCAATGGGGACGGCCGGATCACCAAGCAGGAGTTGAATGACTCTTTGGAGAACTTGGGCATCTTTATCCCGGATAAGGAGCTCTTCAACATGATCCAAAAGATTGACGTAGACGGGGACGGGTGCGTCGACATTGATGAGTTTGGAGAGTTGTACCAGTCTATCATGGATGAGCGTGATGAGGATGAAGACATGAAGGAGGCGTTTAATGTGTTTGATCAAAATGGAGACGGGTTCATCACCGTTGATGAGTTGAGGTCGGTTTTGTCCTCGCTCGGGCTTAAGCAGGGGAGGACTATAGAGGACTGCAAGAGGATGATCATGAAGGTGGATGTGGATGGAGATGGAAGGGTCAACTACAAGGAGTTCAAGCAAATGATGAAGGGAGGTGGGTTTAGCGCATTGAGTTAACAAATGGAATTGTTCTTAGATGGGGCCTTGGGGGGTCTATTAAATTGGATGTGTAAATATTTTTGAGAATGTACACAAAGAAAAAGAATGAGTGGTGATCACATGTGGTCGGTCACATGGTACGGTGCGAACTGTGGTGTACATGGCTAACGGGCATTGGCCAATTAAGTCCGGGAGTATGTCTGCGACGCACGGTGGGCTCCGGTGAAGCCTTGTCTTAGCTCCGGCCAGTATGCTGTCTGTGGATGCGTTTAGGAATGATCTGTGGGCCAAATGTTGGGAGAAGGGGAATAGGAAGGCATAGAATAGAAGTCGTTGGGGAAAGCATATGATCAGTTTTATCACCAAAAAGAACGCAATTGTGTTTTTTCTTGTGGAATTTTCTTTATAATCATGTCATTTTTATTATTTCCCCCATTGTATTTGTTATTTCATCATGGAGAGTGTATTTTGTTATCATGAATTTGATTACATTGTACTAAACCCATCCCTCTCCGATTCTCAGTTCTGTTATCCTGATTAGAATAAGACATTGCAAACCTAACCTGGCTTGCAAGAATTCTACTTTAACATTCAATAGGTAGAGGCACAGCTGGATTTAGACTATTTTAGTTTTTCATCTCATCAGGTGGGTTGTTGTGCCTAGAAGAACCTAAAAACTCTTGTGGTGGTTAGCTCCATTTGCTTCCTGCAGCAGACTACTTGTTTTAAGGACTCTTTCTGCTGCACAACAATAAGTTCACTTTCTTTCGTTTCTTCAGCTAAATTTACACTGACCATTGATTCTTGAAACCCCTCCATCTCCTTTTTTTCTTTTTTTCCGTGACGCTGCGATGCAGGAATATAAACATATAGTAAAATATCATATAAACGAACAAGACAAGTTTCATTACATAATGTACTAATCACTGGTGCTGCAATTTGGGTGATCCAACTTTGAGGATTGCAGCAGGGGTTTCAAAATAGGAGATAAACAAGAAAGAGGTTTTCGTTGGGCACGTGAAGCACATGAACTGATTTCACTGAAGATCTGCTTGTTGGACTTGTGGATAAAGTGCTAGATTAGATTCCTTGCCCAGGAAGGTGCAGAATTAATATGTGATGCAGAGGATTGATATTATTGACTTCTTTTATTTTCATTAATAAAATAAAGCAAGAGAGACTCGTATTTCTATTTCATGTCCCTCTTGTTTGAAAACTGAGGAAATGCAGATCATGAAGTTAAAACTTTTGTCTATGTTTCTTCTGAAAGGTTTGTTTCATGTAAGGTTTTGCATCACTTCTCAGTTTTACATGAAATGCGAAATTTGAGCGGAGATGTAGAAGCTTGATATGTACTTAATTTGGTCAGGTTTGTGGCCACGAGTTTAAACCATTGGGGTCGTAAGTGGTTAGAATGTAGCAAACAATACGAGAAATAAAGAAAGCTTCAGATTCACCTTATTTGATTTCAACAGCAGAAACTCCGACAAACAACTCCAAGTAAAAAAAAAAACAATTACACAAAGCACATAGAAGCAGAGAAAAGCTAGAATTTTTTTTTCCTCCCTTTTATATGCTTTAGTATGTGCAACAAATTCCTCTGGCATATTTGTTAGAGTTGATTCCTCTAACGTCCTCGAATTCACAAGTGTTGCTGGAATGTTTTTCAAGTTATTCTTACGACAGCATCTGGTTTCCAATTTCTGGAGGTTCAGCATTCTCTAGGTTTTCCAGCACCCATAGTTTTAAAGCGTTAACCAAATGCACCTTGTTCGCAAACCATTTTATTTCCAGTGAAAGAATTAGCCAAAAGCCTCAGAACGGTCAAAGTTTTGAAGCTGCTCAAGTGTTGGCATGGGATCATCATCCTCAAGCATTGGGACTGGCAAAGTTAGACCTTTGATACCCCAAGATAGACTTGATATAGATACGTGGACAAGTAGTAGGCATGCGGCATGCTCGTCAAGTACAGAAATGTGGCAATGGAGAGATCATTTATTGGATCTTCAATATCGTTATGCTGCTCCCGGGAGCTTCATGAGCTGCTTGACTCAGGAAGCTGCACAATCTTTGGCGCTAGCCATGTCACTGGGTTCAGTATTGACGTCTTTAAGGCTGCACTGGAAGTATTACCATACGCTACGTTTGAGTTCATTCCCTTTTCAAAGTCTGATGGCAGGCAAGCACCAATGCTGGCGCTTAAAATGATTTGGTCTATCGAGTATATCTTTGGATAAAACTCTCGGCCTAACTTCTTTGAATCATGCCCAACAAGTTTTCCTATTGAACCTAGACTATGTGATCTCCAATCAACTATAAGTTAGGTTTCAATCCGGCCCGATTCATTCATTATGTTGACTTTAACCTCATTCCTTCTTCATAAATATCATGAACATATATGAAGATCTTTTGTCTAACAAAAAATATGTAACCATTCAGTTTTTGAATTCCAAAATTTGCTTAAACAAACACATATGGATACTCATTTTTTAATTCCATAATTTTGCCTCAACCCAATTTAGTTGATCTAGTATTCTTGCGATGACATGGGAATATTCAAGGCTCTCTATCTCTCTAGCCAAGATGCATGAGTAGGAACTTTTCTGGTTCTGCCATACGTATGAGTTCACTGAATAATCACATTCATTGACCTAACCATGACTAATCACGGTCCATCTCACTTTCCTGGTTGTTTCAACCAAGGATTGAAATATCAGCCGATACTGGGGGGTAAGGCCATATATTCCCATGTATCGACGATATATCTCTGATAAGTGCGATATCCCCGATATTTCCCGATACCTAAAAAAAATTAAGAAGTTTTGAAGGCAATTGAAGCAAATTGAAACCGAAAAATAGCTAATCCTTTCTCATAACCTTATGATTTATTAATATGAAGAATCTATGCACAGTCCACTGCCCCACATACCTCCAATCCATCTGAAGAGAACATGGCAATCATTTTTGGATCTATGAGCATAGGAAATAGACGTATAACTAACTCAAATGAATCTTATGATGGCTATGGTTATGTCATGTCTGATTATAGTGGAACTAGTTATGGAGCTCACGATAATAAAATATATTATGGACCTACTAGTTGGTTAATCCTAACTATCCCATATATGGGAGGACAGTAGGGAGCTCAAGAGAGACTTATATGCACTATGTTCAAACATGGCTTACAAACTGCTAGGGTTACATGACTTGGTATCACTATTGTATGAATCTAGATGGTTGTTCCTTATTGTTTGAACCTCATAGGAGCTCTTCATTTATGTAGATGAACACTTATCTAAATTGTAATCCAATTTTTAAACAAACTATGGATTTATGCATGGTTTATTCATTCTAATTAACATTTTTTTTTCAAACTTTTCATTAACGCGCATTACATACCACTTATGTTTTATCATATGTATATCTTATTATTAGTAAATTTTGAGTTTTATTTGTTCAATACATTCATTGATAATGTACATAACATCTATGAAAGTTTTACACAAAAATTATGTATTTCAATGCCTATATCTGTCATTTTTGTTATTTTTTCCTAATACCTTAAACGATAACAATATATCCCCCGAAATATCCGTAAATTGGAGGCCCGATATTATCTGCACGGCCGATATTTTAATCCTTGGTTTCAACTAGGGTGGTTGCGATTCTGTAACCGCGAATTTTTGCCCAAATCGCAAACCGACCGACTATTTGCGGTATGGTGATTTTTAAAACCGCAAACCGACCGCTTTTTGCAGTACCGTGAATTAGCGGTTTAAAACCGCAAGTTCTTTTTGTGTCATAAAAATCCAATCTTTCACATTTTAGGCCTAATTTTGATGCTTCTTTTGAAGCCTCTTGATTTCAAACATACTTTAACCCAAAAATATAAATTCACAACCTCAACTTCTCAAGCATATATAAATTCACAGCCTCCTCAACTTCTCAAGCATTCACAACCTAAAGAAAATTAAAGTTACAATTCCAAGCATTCTAATTAAAGTTAAACTTCTCAAGCATTCCAATTCCAAATCCTTTAAAGTTACAAACCAAAAAGAAAATGCAATGCAAAATGAATTAAAGTTACAACCCAAAGGAAAAATCCAATTCGAAGTTAATTAAAGTTACAAACTAAAAGGAAAATGCAATGCACCAATGTTACAAACTAAAATTACAAACTCAAGTGTTGGTGGTAGTGAGTGGATTTGAAGGACCCCGTTGTGTTGTTTGAGCACTAATGCTATCTACAAAATGGGATTTTTTTAAATAAAAAAAAATATAGCAGCGGTTTGCGGTAACCGCAAGTTTTGAAAATCAAATACCGTAACAGCAACCGCAAATGTGGCTCAGTTCTTCATACTGCAAATGCAGTTTGGTTTCCCGCGATTGCGGTTCCATTGCGGTAAATTGTCGGTTGATTTTTGAAGTTTTTCGGTCTAAAATGCCACCCCAAGTTTCAACTTCTCTTGTTGGAAGTATTCATTAATTTTTCCTTCAAATATTTGCAAAATTGTATTTGGCAAATGTAGGATATGAAGGAACAAAATAATGACTTCTTTTTTTCCCGGTAAAAACACTTCAGAAAAATCGCAAACACAAATTTTGCAATCCAATATGCCAATTGCATATATCAACCCAAGGACTCATAGGTCATTTCCTTCATAAGATATTTGCCAAAAATGCTTTCCAAAGTCACCAGTCTTTGATCACAAAGACCAATATAAAATAACTATATGCATTATTAAACATGCTTAACTTATCTTGCATATGTCTCAGGATATATCACATGTACTTCCAACATATTTTATGCATAGGCTACACACAAATATACCTTAACATATACAATTGATATAAGAGACAATGAAGCTCTTATTACTATTTGGGCCTAAATTCTGTGCGCTAGCCCAATTGTCTATTAGGTTTTCTCTACAAATAGTGTATGGGGGGGAAGCGCGGGAAGTGAGAAACGACCCTGTGGTGGATCACTGTGCACGCCTACTGCCTGGGTGCGCAAAACATTGAAAAAATGTGAGTGGACCAAAAAAAAAGTTTTAGAAAATAGTATAAGAACATACTAACCCCACTGTAAAAACAGTTATAAAAACTAAATCAATATCCTCATATATACTCATATTGAACTCATGCATTCATATATATACATATATTACTAAACATTAATCTTGCTGGAAGACAATGAAGTAAAATTCAACCTATCACCTGAGTATACTTATTTAATTTCATCAATTCGCTTAATTTCTATCTATTCCTCGTGTCACCGTGGTGACACACCCTCGTAGGACTCAGGTTAGCCTGATTCGCCCTCGCAAGACTCACTAGGCGCACCCGAGTTGCATCCCTCGCTCCCACAGTTCGAAAATCCCTAGCCTGATCCACCCTCATCTTAAAACTCTGCCGCCATCCTAACCAATTTCCAAAATCCTTATTTTTACTATACTTAGGTACTCTCATCTCGGCAACAAATAATAAAATACTTAACCTTAGCAATACATGCTAGAAAGCCCTCGATCTATTGCATACTTATGCAGATCAAATAATGATCCGGAAGCTCCTAGAGGTTTCAAAATACC